TAACACTCCAAAGAGAAAGGAAAAAATGAAATCGCATCATATGACCCCATTAACACTAATTTAAATGCATCATACGGAGACAAAATGAAAAGAAAACGCCATTTCTGAAAAAAGTCAGTTCCGTTCCCCTCAGAAACACATTCATATAAATTTCAATGTTTGGATTTTCATCCTATATTTCGCGCATCGTGAACAGTGATCTTGTTCTGCCTGCTACAGTATTTTCTCCTCTTTGTGTCCGTCTTCAGAATCTCTGGCCTCTGTTAATGGCCGTTTACAGACTAAGTATAATAATAACGTAGTATTTCCACAAAAATAGCCATTGGGAAAATGATTGCAGTGCAGTTTGTGTGCAGTTTGTGTGCAAGCACGGAACAGAAGATAGTCTGAAATAAAACAAATGTCCGGTAGATCGGTGCATCTGTACTCTAGTGTATAAATTCAATATAGATTAATCAGTTAAAACTACAAAGTTATTTGCCAGGACGGGTATTTTGACATACTTTTGTATGTATTTGCCTGTTCAGTGACGCGGCTGTCTGTGCACGCGCTGTTCACACAGAACACAGCGCACGAGTACTGAAAGGAGTTGTCTTTTGCGCACCAAATGCTTTTTAATCGCTTGAATTTTTAAATTAACAAGTCTTAAAAACACATGCAAATGATAAAATGTCGTGACAAATCCATCTCCTTATTGTCAAGCCCAGGCAATGCACTGAAATCCATTCAGAACACCCGGTAACTTGCTAAACTGGAACCCCTGAACTAGTGATGTTGGAGGCGTGGTGGAGAAATGTAGTGTCTCACAACACATATGTGAACAACAACAGGTTGCTAACAAACTGTGAAACCAGAACTCAGCAAAAGCGGCAGTGGACGAAAAATAAAACCACTCACTACAAAGTTTTAGACTTGGACACTGACTGGCTAGTCAGAGAACTGAGAACTGGCTGAGAGCCGAACCATTTCAGTGAAAGAAGGGTGCCAGTAACTGCATAGCAATGCCCTAGTGAACACCCAAAAAAAGCACATTGCATTGCATTAAAAACCAATCAGTAGACCCCATAGACTGTATAAAAAAACTTGGACGTAGTGTCCGTGACATCACCCGTAATTTTCTGAAGAGCGTTTTTGAAGCTCAAAGTGGGCGGAGCCAGCCGTCGCCATCTTGGCAGCGCGTCACCGCGCATCACTCCCAGATAATCGAAAATGGGCAAAAAGGCGGGAGCTGGTTGCTGAAGCCACACCCACATAGCTTGACGGCAGTGTCAGCAGCGGCAATCCACCTGTCACTCAAGTGGCCACGCCCTTAATTATGCAGAACTTCAAGGCTTAATATAATTTAAACAGATGAGTTATAAAAAAAAATTCACCTCCCTCACAGTTGTCATGAAGGGTAAAATTAGCTATATAGACCAAAATCATTTTTTGAACCAGGTTGTAAACATGTTTTTTTCTGCTGTAAAGTTGGGCATTTTAACATGGGGAAAATTTTAAATCTATGGGATTGACTCCCTTTTGCAGCCAGCCTCTAGCGGCCAGTTGACGAATTACAGTTTAAGTCACTTCTGTGTTGGCTTCACGAGAGAGAGCGGGAGGTTGCCGCTTGGTAGACCCCAGTAATACTAGTATAGCAACTCCCTAGCAACAGCAAAGCAACACACTAAAATCTATTCAGAACGCCCAGTAACCTATTACAAAGACTGCTGTGATTATAATTTCTAGCTCCTTTTAATAGAACAAAAGAAACGAAGCGCTGTGGCCTAGTTCATGCACTTGACACATTAAGGGAGGTGGCTAGCATAATTTTCTGATCCCCCTTCCTTCCTCTTTTCCTCATCATTTCCTGTTTTCTCCATCTACTATTCCTATCAATAACTGGTCAAAAAAAGAGCGTAAATGATCTTAATCTACATTTGTTCTGTTAAGCTTCACCAGGTATTAAATGGATCAAAGTATCTCTGGCTCTAGAGAGCTGCCTATTGTCCTCCTAATAAATCACTCCTCAATGGACACTTCAAGCACTCCTCAGAGACTATAACGAGAGGCAATCCCGATTTCTTTCTCAACCTGCCCCCCAATTCCCTGAAGACAAATCTGTGAAACCGCAACAGTCCAGACAGAGTGTCCCTGACATTAGGTAGTACCTGAACCATCCATCATGCAAAAGAAGGCAGCAATCACCACTTAATAACTGCTGTAGTCCTGGAGAACCTACCAAGGTCACATCCAGCCACAGCCGTTAGATGAAGTGCCGGAATAAGACATGTTGCGACTTGTCAGGGGAACTTGTAAGACAGACTATTTCAATTTTTCAAACTGGAACCTAACTGTTTTTCCTGTCAAACTTACAGTAAACACACGTTGACAGAAATCCACTTTAGATGGAAGTTGATGAGGCAAAAGTTACATACTTGCTCCACAGACTTAAACTGTAAACATCAACATTTTATTCCTTTTTATGTACTGGGAAAGCCCACATGCTGATGTCTGACTCACCTAAGAATATAAAAGCATTCTGTAGCATAGATAAAATCTGAGGCTTCAAGCTTCTGTCATAGAGAAAGACCACAGAAACCACTGCAGTAACTCACTCTTTTGACTGGATGCCGTTGGCTCTGACCGCAGGGTAATGACTGAGCCCTCGGCGCTCCTCCACTGTGATTGGTCCTCCAAACTGGTCCATGATGACCCCAGCATGCACCGCTGCTTTACACAAAACTGATGTCTGAAATAGAAAGCACAGATAGCACTCAGACACAATAATGAAGGGACAGACAGAGAAAGGACAGAGATTGGCCTATAAGACATAACAAGTGTTTCTTTACTCATACACAACCATTGGTGTTTTTTATCAAAACTTTCCTTTAAAATGAATCTAAATTTTGTTGATTTTTAGACCAACATGGCGATTAAATTGTTGACAAAAACAATATTACAACAATACTGATACTTCTTCATATTACAGCAATTAACAGAGAAATAGTTGATATTAAAAATGTGATATTAATATGTTGTCTAAATAAATAAAAAAGCTAAATACTCATTAGAACAAAAAGTCATTAGAACATTATACTGTACAGTTTGAAAAATGAATATTCATACACACATACATATATAAAAATAATGTTTATATACATAATAAATACATACACTGTAGGTCAAAAGTTTGAAAATTATGATTTTTTTTTACAGTTGTAGAAGTCTTGTGTATTTATTTGTTAAGTAAAAACAGTAAAAATAGTAATATGACATATTACAATTTAAAAACTTTCTATTTCAATATATTTAAAAATTTTATGTTTCTGTTATTAATTATGTATCATATTTTTTCTTCTCTATGATCAGTCCATAGCATCCCTAAAATAAATCTGCCAATTATTTCATGTTGTAAGCACTGTCTCAGCTACCATAAAACACCCTTATGCATACTTCTAGCACAGGCATTCAATTCAGTTTGCTCTGGTATTTCATAATTACTAAGACAGACCTCCATTGAACATAAAGCATGCATGTTTTTAGTAACAACATGGATTAATTTAAAATTTCTGACTGAGGAGGGCTTAATAATTTCATTCTGAGGCAACAATTACAGTAATTGTGGCAGCCAGTGGAAATGCTTAGCATTCTTTAGCTACCACCGCTAATGCTAGTACTTTGTCACAGAAAATGCCTTAGCATGAATAACCTTTTTAAGGCCCTTTTACTTAACAGGCCAGGTAACAGCCATAATGGGATTTGAACACTGTGATCTTCTGATTTAAATCACATTATGATAATTTGAATTGTGTCGAGTAACACTGAGCTTTGACCCTGAGAGCACATGTATGTCCTCTAAATGTGGATGTTTCTTAATATATCCATCTACAATAGGGATGTAACGATTAACCGCGAGCCGGTTGAAAATCGATTTAAATATGTGATGATTCAAATCGGTTGACAAATCGCGATTCAGATTCAGGGTAGGAGTTTATATGAATGTATGTCTGAGGGGAACTTACTGTCTTTCGATGGTATTTTTTCTTTTCCTCTTGCCTCTGTATAATGCATATCAGGGCTCCAGACTCATTCTTCCCACTGGTCGCTCTTTTGCCACTAACTTTCTCAGCTGGTCGCACGAGCACATGATTTGGTCGCAATATATA